TGAGGTGGGGGTGGGTGGGGGTGCAGGAAGTCATCTTGGTTACGTCATCTCGCTCAGATCGGGGAGACATCTTGGTGACGTCATCTCGCTCAGATCGGGGAGACATCTTGGTGACGTCATCTCGCTCAGATCGGGGAGACTTTGGCCGAGTCCTTGAAGATGACAATGGCGAAGATGACCTCCAGCAGCTGAGGGGAAAAACAAAACAGGCTGTGACGTCACCAAGATGGCATTGACAAAACAAGAAACAAACCAGGGTCTAAGCTCTATGTTGTCAAAGAAATGTAAAAAAAAACAAGGAATAAAACAGTCTCTGAGATGTACGTTGTAAAAGAAATGTAAAAAAACAAGAAACAAAATAGGCTCTGAGATGTACGTTGTCAAAGAAATGTTTTTTTACAAAAGAAATAAAACAGTCTTTGAGATGTACGTTGTAAAGAAATGTTTAAAAAACCAGAAACAAAACAGGCTCTAAGATCTACGTTGTAACAGAAATGTTTCAAAACTAAGAAACAAATCAAAAACAAACAATTCATTACAGGCCAGCTGTTAAAACGAACTGCACCTATTTTTTTGTCAGTTTATTTTCAGTTGTTGTTTTAAATCACCATTTACTGACAATAGATGGATATATTTTTCTTGTGTGTATACATGTACAAGTGTGTGTATGCCTGTGTATGTGTGTGTGTGTGTGTGTGTGAGTGCATGTGTATGTGTATGTGTGTGTATGTGTGTGTATGTGTGTATGTGTGTGTATGTGAGTGCATGTGTATGTGTATGTGTGTAGGTGTATGTGTGTGTATATATGTGTGTGTATATGTGTATACGTGTGTATATGTGTGTATGTGTGTATGTATGTGTATGTATGTGTATGTGTATGTGTGTGTATGTGTGTATGTGTGTGTATGTGTGTGTATGTGTGTGTATGTGTGTGTATGTGTGTATATGTGTGTATATGTGTGTGTACGTGTGTGTATGTGTGTGTATGTGTGTATGCGTGTGTATGTGTGTATATGTGTGTATGTGTGTGTGTATGTGTGTATGTGTGTGTATGTGTGTGTATGTGTGTATATGTGTGTATATGTGTGTGTACGTGTGTGTATGTGTGTGTATGTGTGTATGCGTGTGTATGTGTGTATATGTGTGTATGTGTGTGTGTATGTGTGTATGTGTGTGTATGTGTGTGTATGTGTGTATATGTGTGTAT